AGGGCCTTCGTCATTTCAATTGGTGCAGAAGGAGGCAGAACCCGCCCCCGGGCTCGCCTCCAGAGCCGAGCAGTAGAGCTCCGCCCTTCGGGACACTGAAACCCCCCAGCGGGCGTTTTGAACCCCGGCTGTTGTGACAGACCAGCGATGTCGCTACTGCTGCGACATAGAAACAACTTCGGCTTCCTTTTCCTCAGCCTCCCTCAAATGCCCTCTGCTTTTAAAGCAACTTTGACCAAGTGTTGTTCTCCCAACTCCTCTCCAAGTCCCGAAACTCTTTCCCTCCTTTCCTACTTAAGAGTTGGAATTCTGTCAGGGACCCAGGAATCCCAGCTACACACACACACACACACACACAAAACCGAGTTAGTCCGTTGGACCTTCACCCCTCTGTCCCCCTGAGCCTTGGGGAGAGGGAGCAGGTGCAACATACTATGGTGATTAAGAGATTGCACCCTAGGAGTGCAATCTTGTCTGCAGGCAAAGGTTAGGATTTGACTCCACCATTCACCACCATTGTGTTCCTGCCAAATTTCTTCACATCTGTGTAATGAGGGTAATAACGCCTACATTTTACAGTTGTTTGTGAGGATTAGTGCTTAGCAGACATCTACGGGGCACTCAATTAAAAATGACTAACATATATTGAGCATTTCGTGTGTGCTACTGGGCTAAGTATCTTATCTCTATTTTATGGAAGAGAAAACTGTGATGCAGAGAGGATGAATCACAGAGTGAATGCATGGTGGTGCCAGGACTCCAAATTCAGATCTGATTCCAAAGTCCGTGCTTTTAACCACTTAACCTATTACTATTGTTATTACTGCTCTTGTTTTTGTAGCTGTTGTTAAAGTTATTGTTCCAGGTTTACTCTCTTCCCGACTCTATCCTGGTGTCCTGTAGTTTCTGTAGTTCTACTGGGAGTGGGAGTGAACTGGGAGTAGAGCCTCAGGGAAGAAAAGGGCCAGAACCTGTTTCTCCAGGGCAGAGCCTACCCTTAATCTGGTTCCTCCATAGTCCTGCGTACCCCAAGGCTGGGTACTCAGGGGGCATTTGTTGACCTTAATAAAATACTAAAAATTGATCAGGCCAAAGCCTTGGAGTCATAACCTTGACTCTATTCTTTATAGTGTACTCCATATCTAAATTGGTGAACTTGACCTTCAAAACAGATCCAGTATCTTGCCCACTTCTCCCCGCCTCCACTGCTCTCACCCTCGTCCTGTGCACCACTGTCCCCCCTGGACCATCCCAGCAGCCTTCACCATGTCTCCATGGCCCCTCCTCCCCAGTGTCTGTCCCCCACAGGCAGCAAATGGGAACCTATGAATACCTGAGTCAGGTTACATCCCTCCCATGCTTGGAGCCTTCCTGTAGCTCCACCTCACTCCGGGTGAGCAGAAAAGTCCATGCAGTAGCTTGCAAGGCCCCACAGATCCTCCCTGTCACCTTTCAGCCTTCATCTCCTAAGCACCCTCCTCCTTGCTTCCCCCCCTCCAGCTCCCTTGATGTCCCTCAGACTTACCAGGCAGGCTTCTCCCTCAGGGCCTCGCACAACTGTCCCCTTTACCTGGAGTGCTCTTCCTGCAGACATCCACAAGACTCCCTCACCTCCTTCAGGGCTATATTCAAACGCCAGCTCCTTAGTGGGGACTCCCTGACCACCCCAGCTACAACTGCCTGTATCCCCCATCTCCACTTTATTTTTTCTTTATAGTATGTATCATTTCTAACATGTTGTCTCCTTCACTACAAGGCTCATAAGTTCCTTGTGGGCAAGGATTTTGTTTGTTCTGGCCTCGTGGCTTGAGGGATCTTAGTTTCCCAAGCAGGGATTGAAACTGCACCCTTGGCAGTGAAAGTGATGTGGAGTCCTAACCACTGGACCGCCAGGGAATTCCCCAATTTTTGTCTGTTCTGTTCACTGCCTTATCCCCAGCGCCAATAAAAAGGGTGTCCAATAAATGTAGAGTGACTGGAGGTATAAAATTCAGCTGGAGGATCTGCTTGGGACTAAAGGATGGGAAGGGGAAAGGAGGATTTGGGTAGGGGACTGGTCTACTGGTTCAGGAAGGTGAATGGATGGGGTGCATCAATGCAAATAAAGAACACAGGCTGAGACTTTGTCACAGACATTTCTTGGAGCCAATATCTCATGCCCCCTCCCCCGATGACAAGGCTGGGTCTTCGGCCCGCACCATCCCCCACTACTACAGCCTGCCCTGATAACAACATTGAGGTCACAGACTGGCTTAGAATCAAGATCAGGAAGATAAATGTCGGGGTGCCTCTCCCAAGTATGGGGGCCAAGCATCCAATCTGAGGGGCAAGCTGCTGGGAAATTGGGCCTGGGGGCTCCAGGGTCTGAGGTCTTCCTGGCTCCCAGGGTCATCCCTCCATGCACCCCTGATCTAGGGGTGATGAAGAGTAATCATGGATCAGAGGTGGGTATCAGCAGGGAGCAGGACTGGGAGACCTGGGAGAGGCGGTGCTGGGAGGTGGGAGCCAGGGAACCGTCCCCCAGCCCCCCACTTCATCCGCAGATCCCGCAGCACCTTACAGCACTCTGGTCCCCCGTCCCACCCCTCCCCAAAACGAGGTAGGTTAAGAATGGAGCTTCCCCCCCGCCCACCACGGAAGGGAGGAGACCGAGGCACAGAGAGGGGGATGGGGACCCAGGCTGCCCCAGCCTCCAGTCCCTCCGCCCTCAGCTCTGGTGGGTCTGACAGTGATGAGAGCTGGGCAGAGTGGGGATGGGAGGGACACCCCCCTTTTCTCTCACCCATCCCAGGGTCTGCTTGAGAGAACTGAATCTCACAGGTTCCGGATATAATAAATAGTTAATAATTTAAAGGAAGTGACAGGAGGATCCACCCCTCTGGCCCCCTTGACCTATCCTTTGAACCCCTACAAGGCTATCCAAGTCTAGGTAATGAGGAAAGGTAAGTGCACATTTCAAGGTGCTCAGGACCAGATGCAGGTCCCAAGCCCGTACAACATTGAGATTGTGTTGCTCCAAGACCGTGATACCCCACCCCCACCCCACGCAGGAGGCCATCAGATCTGTGGTACACTAGAAGTCCCATTCCACTCAGGGGAAAGAGACCTTGGAATCCCCCTTCCCCAGAAGAGGACTCTCAACGGGCCATGAACCACGCTTTCAAACTTTCCAAAACAACCCCCAACTCTGAAATGGAAGAGAAGGAGTTAGCAGGGGGGCAGATCATAAAAGGCTTGGACTAGGGCTAGGACTCAAAGTTGGGCTTGGAAGAGAGTCTGCAAGGCTGGCATGTGTGTGTGTGTGTGTGTGTGTGTGTGTGTGTGTGTGTGTGTGTGGTCTTTGTGCCAATAGAGCCATATCTAGTTGCCTTTGTGCAAAGCACACCTTCCTCTGAGGGCACAGCATGGCCAGCCCCACTCACCACCTTGGCTGTGTGCCTTTGCTTCGTGAACAGCCTGCACAATCATCTACAGCAATGCTGGGTCCTAGAGATGGGAGCAGGGGTGCTCTTGGGTGGTCCTGGAATCTAGGAACATTACCTCAAAATGTTTTTTTCCCCTTAGGGTAAAGGGGTAGTTCTGTGGGATACTGAGAGCTTGGGCTGGAGCCCTTGGGACTAGAATTCCAGTGTCTGGGAACTTGGGGTTTCAGGGGCGTATGGATGGCAGGATTCAACGGGCAGCAGGTCTCAGGGGATGCACAAGCTGGGCCTGGGAAATATCAGGCTAGAGAGGTTTGGGTCCAAAGAAATCTGGGATCTGAAGGTGCTAGGGTCCCAGGGAGCCTCAGATCTGTCTCTGGTATGGAGGGACCAAGGTCTTGGGTCAGGGACGATCCCAATATTGTGTTGGCTTGAGTGCTGAATTTGGGGGTCAATGGCACCTTGGGGTCTTGGATCTAGTGCTCCTAAAGCACCTTGGGGTCATTCAGGGGCAAGGGGTCAGAGGTCTGAGTTGCCATGAACATCCCATCTTGTGGGAGCTGGGCTCTCAGCCTTTAGTGGATTGGGGAATCTGTGGGTACGAAGAAGCCAAAGATTCCAGGACATTCTGGTGCTTGAAATGCAAGTCCAAGGAGGATTGGAAGAGGGCTATCTGAGGGGTTGGGACCAATGTTTGGGCCCTGAGGTGTTGGTTGCCTCCAGTCTTACACCTGCGGGACTAGGCATCTCGGAGTCCTACATATGAAATCGAAAACTCCTGGGAACACAGGCTTGGTGTTGGTGGTCTACAGACTTCTTTGATCCCTGGCTCACAGAGCATCTTGGAGTCTTAATTCTGGATCTTGGGCAGTGTGCATGTGGGGAGGGGGGCTCTGAGATGGGTCTCCCAAGTCATTTGTGTCAGAGAACATCCGTTTGAGCACATCCAAGGACTCAGAGTATCTTAAGAGGATTCGGTATCTAAGAAGTCCTGAGGCTACAAGAATATCTCAGATACAGGGGCTCCGAGTTTTAGGTGAGCATTCAGGAACGATTTGGGGGTGATTCTGGGTCTTAGGGTCCCAAGATCTGGGAGTAATTGTATACAGGCAGGGTCAGGTACCGGCAACTCCTAATTCTGGGGTTGTAATTTGAGGGTTCATGGTGCCAGGCATGACTGGGTCTAGACTGGTAATTTGAACAGTGAGTCAGGATTCAGAGCCCGATTCTCAGGGATCCGTGTGCTCCCCTGCCTGCCTGAGGTGAAGAGTCTGGGCATCCCTGGAATCTGCTCAGTCTAGGCCAGAGCGGGGCGGAGTGGGGAGAGGCGGGGAGAACGGGGACGCCAGAACTCAGGATGCCTGGGACCTCTTGGACAGACATCCCAATGAAGCTGGTTCTGGGGTCTCTCAGTCCTACATTTGGGGTCCAGGTTCCAGGTCTGGGGTCTCTCAATCCAAACTCAAGCTCCAAGTTCCGGGTGTGTCTAGGTTTGGGTTTGGGGTCCGAACGGAGTCCGGGGTCCTGGACCCTCAATTTTGGGTCCTCGGTCCGGCTACCGGACCCACCAGGCCGTCCTCACCGCGCCGCCTCCTCGTGGCGACCCCCGCAGCCTGCGCAGCCGCATCGAGCTGCGACCCAGTGGCATGCGCGCAGGGGCGCGTAGCAGCAGAGGCAGGGCACGGCCAGGGAGAGTGCGGCCAGCGCGGCCCAGCGCGCGGCGGGGCGCGGGTGGCCCGGCTCGCAGGCGCACGGGTCCGAGAAGTCGCCCTCGGCATCCGACAGGCAGTGGTAGAGCAAGCTCTCGGCGCACCACAGGCAGCTGAGACGGCGCACCAGCCGGCGACCCCCGCCTCCTCCGCCTCCGGGGAGGCCTTGGCAGGTGCAGGGGCCGGGCCGGGGCCTGGGGGTGGGCGAACCGGGGGTGCTGGGGGCGCAGCCTCAGTGAGAGGGGCGGGCAGGGCTGTGGGGGGCCCCAGGGCTGCGCCCCTCAACGCGCCGGTCTTGGCGAAGCGCACGACGCAGGTGGATAGGGCGAGGGGTGCGGGTGGCCCAGCTCGCCGGTAATCCTCATAGCCGCGGCCGCCCCAGCCCAGCCCCCCTGTCCCGGCCAGGGGCTCTGAAGGCTCCGGAATCCCCGTGAACGGTAGGAGCGGAGGGTAGCTCTGTGGGACGAAGACAAAGGAGAAGTTAGCGGGGTCTTTGATGCCCCACATCCCACCACGATCCATCCCGGCCTTAGAAGACCCGAGAATCCAGACCCAGCCACAGGCCTCATTCATCCTAGGATCCTGCCCTGGGATCCTGACTGCCTGGGTCCGGAACTCAGACTTGTAAGTCCTCAGCCCACTCCCCTCCCAGGGACAGAGGACATCTAAGGACCGACAGAAGACTCCGGGCACCAAACCCACACCTTAAGGACCCAGTGGTCCAGGCTGTCAGTCCTGCCCTCTCTCAAGATCCGGGGTCCCAGTACCCAGCCCCCTCTACTCTCAGATTCAAGACTCCTGGACCCCAGCCGTCTCCTCCTTCAGGACGCAGGAGTCTGGTCCCTAGGTCCCTTTTACCCCTTGGATACTGAGCCCCACCCCTCGTGAATTAAGCACTAAAGGACTCCTTCCACGAGTACCACCAACTTTTCTAATATAGTCATTGTCCGAGTCGTCCCCTAAACCTCTGTGGAATTCAGAACTTTCCAGTCTCCAAGAGCGCAGGAGACGCAGGAAGCCCTCACCCAACCTTCCGAGGAACCCAGGCCTAAGCTCCCCGCCATAAGTCGGGTCAGCCATCCCTTAGAATCTGTGGTTTCTTGCCCCTCTGCGGCCTCAGTTCCCGCCCACTTTCGGGACCCCAGCGCCCGGGGGTCGGAGGTCGCACCTGAGCTGACGAGCGGCGGCGCTGGGGGGGCGTGGCCGGCCCGAAGCCGGAAGCTGACTCCAAGGTGACGATGGGGGCCGCCGCTGCGGTGGGAGGCGTCTCCTGGTGGCTGTGACTGGAGGAGGAGTCGCTGTCCACGTGGGACTGGGGGAGATTGGCGGCCTCAGAGCCGGGACCCCTGGCACAGCCGATGCCCTTACATAGACCCCCTCCCATTGTGAGCGAGGGCTCTGCGGCCAGACAGGCCTGGGTTCAAACCCCGGCTCTGCCACTGACTGGTTGTGTGACCTCCGGCAAGTGAGCTCAGCTCTTTGAGCCTCAGTTTCCTCTTCTGTAAAATGGGGATCATAATATTGTCTATTCGTAACGATGTGGTTAGGACCCACTGTAAAGGGCATAAACATGCCTGAAGTACAGGAAGAGCTGGAAATGGTTATTATTATTTGACTTTCTCTTCTTATCTGCTCAGCTCACCAGCCTACAGAACATCAAACCGACCTCCCTTCTCAGAATCCCTCTCCCTTGGCTGTCAGCTGCCTTCCTGCCTCCTTCCCACCACCACACCTTTACTGGGGCAGTTCCACCCACCTGGAATGTGTTCCTTCCCATCCAAACCAAGCTCTGTCCTTTACGAGCTTCTCAGACCCTTGGTTTCCTTTCTGTAACTTGGGAATAATTCCCACCTCATCCGATTACTATCTTCAATAAACATTCATTGAGCACCCACGACATGCCAGGCTCACAAAGGCCATTGGGAGGGTGTGAGATGGAGCATGGAGAGCACAGTATCTTTCCTGAGTAAGTGCTCAATAAGTGGGACCTGTCTGTGTGACTTTGTAGACCCACCTGCATCTCCCATTACCCTGGGAATCTCCCTTTTCTGCCCAGGGAACCAGTTTTGTTCTTCCAAGTGTCCTCGAGCAACTCCCACTATACCCCAGCAAGTGCCAAATCGAATCCGACATTATGTGCATTTATTCATTCAATCAATTTATTCAACACATATTTACTGAACACTTACTGTCTACCAGGCACTGTTTTAAGCATTGAAGATGCAGCAAGAAAGCAACAAAAGATCCTTGCCCTCCTGGAGCTGACATGCTAGCATGAGAGATGGACAGTAAAGTCATTGATAAGAAAACTGTCTATTGGGAGAGGAAATACGAAAAATATCTTAGACGATGGGGATAAAGAGTAGGATAAGGAGCATTGGGAGATTTTAAACAGGTTACTCAGGGAGGGCCTCACTAAGGTGATGTGTGTGTAAAGCCCTGAAAGAATAAGCCATGTGGAAATTTGGGGAAGAGTGTTCTAAGACAGAGGAACAGCGAGTGCAAAGGCACTGAGACAGGAATGGGCCTGCCCTTTTGGAGTACCAGTAGGAGGCCAGTGTGGCTGGAGACAAGTGAGCATGAGGGAGAGTAATAGGAGGCCAGATTGTGTGGGATCTTATGTGCCACTGTGAGGACTTTGTCCTTTACCACGAGTGAGATGGAGCCTGGGTAGGGTTGTAAGTGGGAGATATCCATGATTTGACTTAGATGTCAATAGGGTCCCTCTGGCTGTGTGTGGGGAAAGGAGATGGTGGGGAGGGGGCAGTTGATGATGAGCAGTTGATGAGATGGTCCAGTGGGGAGATGAGGCTGAACAGTAACCAGGTTGGAGGCACATTCCGATCATTTTGAAAGTGGGACCAGGGAATTCCCTGGAAATCCAGTGGTTAGGACTCAGCGCTTTCACTGCCAGGGCCTGGGTTCAATCCCCAGTCTGGGAACTAAGATCCCACATGCCATGCAGTGCGGCCAAATTAAAAAAAAAAAGAAAGTGGAGCCAATATTTGCTGACAGATTAGATGAGGGGCATAAAAGAGGAGAGGCGGCAAGGATGACTCCAAGGTTTGTACCCCTGAGATGGATGGATTTCCCATTAATTTGTTCATCCATTTACTTTTAATATTTATTCATTTTTATAGTGTACCTTAATTTTTTTTCTGCCTTTCCACACTAGAATAGAAGCTCCTCGAGGAAAGGGACTTTGTTTTGTTCACTGATGTATCCCCAGTGCTTAAAACACTTCTTATTCAGGGTGTTCAATAAATACCCTTGAATGAACATATAAATCAGGATAGAACAGAAAAACTAGAATAACTGGGATCAAAATTGACACTATTGTTCGGGCCCCAATTCGTGTGCCCAGCACGTGGCATGGTGCTGGATACACAGTAGGTGCTCAAGAATGTTTGTAGTATAGAAAGAAACCCCTGCCCTCCCAGCAGAGCTGCATCCTGGAGACTCACCGTCAGAGGGCAGGGAGTGTCTGCGGTATCCTGGGAAGGGGAGGAGGAAGAGGAGGAGGAGGAGGAGGGGGTGAGCGAGCCTGGGGCAGGGAGAAAGGCAGAGAGTGAGTTTCCTGGGCCCGGTTTCTCCCACCCTCCACCCCAGCCACCCCACCACCACCACCAATGCCCACCACCTGCGCCACTCACCTCGACCCAGTGCAGCCAGTGCTGCCAGCAGGCTCTTTTGGAACTCATCAGCCTCTGCCGGACTCTGAAACGTCAGCCCAAACTTGCAGTCACCCAGGCTCCAGTGATGGAAGATGGGGTTCACCTTGTTGTAAACCAAGCCTGGCCGCAGGGTACACTCCAAGGTGGTCTGAGGGGGGCAGGAAGGGGCCAGGTCAGATACCCCCCCCTTCCAGCCATGCCTGTGACTTCCCCAGACTCTATACCAGAGCATCCCACAAACCTCATTTCTCAACCCTAGGTGTACCCTTGAACCCTGATCAACACCCCAGTACCACTCCCCAACTTTACTGAGCACACCTCTGATACTCCAATATTTCCCCCAAACCCCTTGATCCCTACATTTTCCTAACCACCCCCCGCCCCATATCTCAATAGGAATCCCAAATTTTACTGAATGCCTCAAAAAATGAGTCAACCTCTTTCTGATAGTCAGTATCCCCCATTTGACTCAATCATACTCCCCAAATTTTACTGAACATCTCAAAATGTTGTTAATCCCCTTCTGATGCCCCAATAAGTTCCCCAAATATTATCCCCAAATTCTTAACAAACTCCCACATATTTCCCCTCAGATGCTGGTCAACACCCTAGAAGTTCCCTCATCTTTTTTCCCAACATCACTATATTCTTTCACACCATTTCAACCCCCCCTACATTGTTCCTTCCGATTCTTGCTCTGAAATTCAACCCTTTTCAAACGATCCAAACCTTTCTACTACACCCCCAGCTGCAACGTCAACATTCTCTTTCCATTTCAGGCCAGACAGCCCAGAACATTCCTG